GAGGAAACCCAGATCTTAGGAGAAAATCCAATCAAACATTGGAACAAAAACAAGACCCTAGCACATTTAGAAATCATTAATCTATATTTTAAAATTAGTACTCAGAAAATAGTATATAGTCCATTAGATGTAGAAGAATTTGAAAAACAGATTAAGGAATTACTAGATCTTAAGGTCATAAGAGAAAGTACCAGTCCACATAGAAGTGCAGCCTTTATGGTAAGAAATCATGCAGAACTTAAAAGAGATAAAGCGCGAATGGTCATAAACTATAAGCGTCTTAATGATAACATTCAGTTAGACAACTATGATATACCCAGCAAAGAACAGCTTATTAATAGTATTCAAGAAGCAGTAATTTTTAGTAAATTTGATTGTAAATCAGGATTTTGGCAGATCATGTTAGACCAGCCCAGCATACCATGGACAGCATTTACATGTCCCCAGGGATGTTATGAATGGATTGTCATGCCCTTTGGACTAAAAACAGCACCCAGTATTTTTCAAAGAAAGATAGATAATATATTCAAAAAATATCATTCATTTATTCTTGTATATATTGATGATATTCTTATCTTCAGTAAAACACAAGAAGAACATTATAAGCATCTCAGGATTGCATTTCAGCTATTTATTGATAATGGTTTGATCATCAGTAAAAAGAAAATGGAGTTATGTAAAGAGTACATAGAATACTTAGGTATACGAATAGGAAAAGGAAAAATCCAGTTGCAACCACATATTGCCCAGAAAGTTTTAGAATTTCCAGATAAAATAGAAGATAAAAAGAAACTCCAGTCATTCTTAGGAACCCTAAATTATGCTAGACCCTTCATAAAAGATCTTAGCAAAATCATAGGACCTTTATACAGCAAAACGACCCCAAACGGTCAAAAATATTTCAACCAGCAAGATATTAATCTTGTCAGAAAAATCAAGGAAATATGTAAGCAATTACCAGAGTTAGAATTACCATTAGAATCTGATTACATAGTAATAGAAGTAGACGCCAGTGAAAAGGGATGGGGAGCAATACTTCTCAGCAAACCTACTAAATATTCAGCAAAATCTATTGAAAAGATTTGTAGATACTCTAGTGGAAAATACAGAGAAAAGGGAAACTTAGCCAGTATAGATTGTGAAATATTAGGAGTTATAAACGCCATTAATAGCTTCAAATTATGGTTGTTCAAACCATTCACAGTCAGAACAGATTGCGAAGCAATAGTAAAGTTTCATAAGCTTCTCAATGAGAAAAAGATTAGTAACCGTAGATGGCTTAATTTTGTGGATACAATAACAGGTAATGGTTATACAGTAGAATTTGAACATATTAAAGGAAAAGAAAATACTTTAGCAGATTATTTGTCTAGAGAAATAAAGACTAATATTTTGAATTTTTCAGATGGCCTCATCCAGCAATACAACCAGTACAGTCAGAATGGATCAAAAGTTTTTAACCTTTGGGAGCATAACTCTCAGGGTATTCCCTGAACAATCCAGATCCAAATTCAGGTACCTCATTCACAATATCAGTGAGGAACAGAAATGTCTTCTAGATAATCTTTGGGACTCTCACAAAGATGTTCCAAAATTTCTAGCCTGTTTAAATGCTTTAAATATTTTCTTTAATCAGCAAAATAGGTCAAACCCGACAAAAAGATTTTCGTTTTATTGTGTCATGATTGGCCGTGTTCCAGGAATTTACTCTTATTGGCCAGATGTTTTAAAACAAATAGATGGAATCCCTTCTTCAACATGGAAAGGCTTTCATACATTTGCAGAAGCAAACCAATGGGCCAATCGTACCATTGGAAACAATTTTTACATTTCAGAAGCTTCTAGAATATTAAATACTCAAGCAGCCCTTGAGACGGCAGGTTTTCAAAATAACCAGATTTTTAATCAACCTAGCCCTCAGCAGATAAGATTTTGTGATCATTGCGAAACAATGACCAGAAATTTCAGACTTTTAAATCAAAGAAACCAGGATTTGGAACAAGTTAACCAGCAGCTGATTGATAATCAGCAGAGGCTTGAAGAAAATTTAACAACTCTCAAAAGAAAGTTGTTAAGTGCAGAAAGAGAGCTCAAAAGAATTAGAGACCCTTTTACCGCACTGGTAAAAGCGAGAATGCAGTCTTCCCCACTGGAAGATGAAGAAAATGAGTGGAGTAAGATATACAGCCCAAAAGAGCTTTTTCGAACAAAATCAGCTACTTATCTTTCCAAATTTCCCCCAGATGTTATTCATCATATCCAGCATTTAGCTAAACAAGACAGAGTTCATTTTCAAGAATTCTTGTTCTCAGAATTAGTCAAGATCAATAGTACAGGGTGTATTCCAGGACTCACCATCTCTTGGAAAACTCTCTATCTACCAGACCAAGATATGATCCCATGTCCAAAAATCAAACCTACTTGCATCCAGAAACCATTGGAACGAATTTCCTGTACTTGCCAACTCATATACAGCATCCCAATGGCTAACATTGACATGAAAGATTTCAAGCCTTTTATTCTTAACTTTAAGGGTAAACAGGTGGAAATCACCGAGGTTACACTCTTGGATTTTGGGTACATTCAACAAATTATATTCCATGATCCAGATCATACTGACAGATTTGGAAGAAAAATTGCAACATGTGTTCTTAATTCCATGGAAGAACAGGGTACAGCAGTCGAGGCAGTTGTGGAATCAAAACTTCCAGAATGGACATCCACAGGACAACTTATTCCTGCCTACCACAATATTCATGTAAACTCAAATCCAGCCAATACTCTCCTCAGAAGAATTTTTCATTGTGAGAATGATGCACCATGGATTTGCGAAACAAATTCCATCAGAAAACAGATCAGACATGCTATTGCTTTTACCATAGCTAAAAGATTTCATTATGATGATTTATATGCCTATGGAAAAGCTCCATTAATCTGTGAAGACTTATTTCAAAAAATTAGGTCACATGATCATCTCCCAGAAATAACATTCCAGTTTGAGACAGGGTATAATAATCTAGTTGGATATTATAAAGAACAGGAGGCAAGAATGAGAGGAACCATAATAGCAGGAGATCTTTCACCAGACTCATCCCAAAATAATGAAGATGATGAAGATTACGATTTTGATGATGAAGCCATCCAAAATATCGAAAATGCCATGGAAGGATAAGCCTCTCCAGCAAAGGTGTCCCACCATGATCAATAGCAATACTGTCATCACACGGGTCTACACTATACCAGTTAAAGTTGTTTGGAAGTATTTGCCGAAAGCAAAACAGCCAACCACTACAACTGTTTCAACCACTCTTTACCAGCTGCAGAAGAAATAATGACAGCACCACTACTTTCGGTGCAACTACTTTTGGCTTTTTCTTCAAATTTCAATAATAGGGATCTTACTTTTCAAAGAGGAAGGTTGAAAGATGTGACGATGCGGACCCCAAGATCACGCGGCATCTACTATTCCTACAAGAAAACCGGATCTCTTTTCTTATTAAGTTACCAGTCACCTTGTAATTTAGAGTCTATAAATAGGGTCGAGTCTCTCATTTGAAAGCACGACTCTCCTAGCATTGAACACCTGCTACTTGTAAGCGTTTGTTGCAATTGCAATTGGTCGAGTCAATCTTCAGCAATTGAGTCTTGTAATCAGCAGCTTTCAGTGATAATATAGTAAGTTTCAGTTTCTCATCAGTTCTTATTATTCTTTAGGGACTCCCGAAAGGGAACACCCCCATGATTATAAATAAAATGAATACTGTATAAATTATATGCTTGTATTACCCAAAGATTTTAATCCAGTTTTTGTATCACTAAGATCTCGAAATACATTATTTTAAAAGGAAGAAATGACTTCAGGCCTTTAAACCGTAAAGCTTTCTTGAGTCTAACCCGTTTTGCCAAAAGTGGTGTTAAGGAAATTGTATTCGGAAGTAGGTTAAGAAGGAAAATAAGAAATTTCTCTGGATAAAATTTTGACATATAGAAGGAAAGTGATAATAAAAAGAAAAGATTAATCTAAGGGTAATATGATATATAATTTGATATACAGTATCCAGTTTGTTTTAAACAGTTCATCTGAATCATGTGGTGGCAAGTACCGAGTAGGACATACAAATATTTGAATACAAGTTTTTATCTCTTGCATGCATGAACAAAGAAGAACATATTTTGATTTACATTCGTAGGTTGGAAGAAGAAATATTCATTAAGAATCTTTTAATAAGTAGACTATTAAATACAACATTATATACAAACAGGCCTCAATCTAGTAGCGTTCTTACTAGGTTCATAGGAACAGAACAGGATAAACTTAGAGAGCTAGAACAGCAGTTAGCAGAAGCACAACTTCAGTACAGAAGAGCAAAACCATTCCAGAACTAGAGTAAAATTAGACATAAACATCAGGAGCTAGACATATAATTATCCAGGACTAAAAGTATAATTATCCAGATCTTTCCTTGCATGATTCCTTGCTTATTTCTTTGCATATAGCACGACTCTTGATTCAATCCATTAAGTTCATGAATTAAGTTATTAGTGACGTCAATCTTTTGAAGATGTGCTTTATTGTTGTCTTTTCTCGTAATTCTAGGCGTTAGGGATTGCAGGATAACGCTTTGCAGTTTTATTTATTGAAGAGATGTACGCTTTGTTGTAGCCTTTTTAAGAGTTGGTCATGAGCTACATTTACAGCTTTATGAATTGGGAACTTTTGTCTTCTTTTACCTTGTAGCTAAAGTAGTGATGAATCCCGTCAGTAAAATGGGTCCTATCGAAAGTCCATCTATTCCTAATCTCCAGTGAAAATAAAAAAAATGGATCCATTTATAATCTTCGACTAGTTGAATTAACGGATCGTCCGATTGAAAATGATAAGAGAATGCATAGGTCGTTAGAAGGAGTTCTAGTTCTAATATACATGTAGATAAAGTATACCAACGAATTACCCGATTTCCTCTATGGGGAAGAAAGATAATTAAAAAACCCGCAAATATTGGCAAAACTATAATTATTGTTGACCAAGGAAAAGGGATTTGCAGTCCCCTGCCTTACCACTCGGCCATGTCCCCAAAAGGATATAAAATAGATGAAATCTTTCCCCCTTTGGGTTAAAGTAGTGAACTTTTTTTTTATTGTCCTTGCATTTTGTATCCAGTTTTACTTAATCCCTTTCCTAATAGAAATCCTTCTTTTTTTTCGATTGGATTTGATTCACTCCTTCGATTGATTGTATAGTATCTCAAAACATACAATACCTTGCTCTGATACTGGGCAATTGCATTTGATTCCCCCCTTGTAGCTAACTGGGCCTTATTGAATCCTGTCCTTGTCAATCTGACAGGGCTGGGGTAGGTTTTTTTTTGCCCCTCTGCAAATTCCTGTTATAACTCCTAAAAGTCCAATACGAAGGGTTTTCCTGTTTTCATATCGACTTGGCACTCTCTTTGATTATTTTTTGAATGGCGAAGAAAATTTCATTAATCATAAAGATTCAAAAAAAATTAAAAAAATCAAAGAGAAACTCCAAATCAAGATCAACCACATCTGCACACTCTGATACCTTCTAATAGAAACTCCAAATCAAGATCACCCGCATTTGCACTCTCTTTGATACTGACCGACCCTCTTCGGTACTAATATATAAAGCAGAGCTATGTTGCATGGACTTGGGCACAATTGTCAGGCGTGGGTATCAGTTTCATCTAATTTTCAATTTGACCCCAATGGGACACGCCAAAGAACTCCAATAGTATTATTATGTTTACTAGTTATCGTAGATCCTTTCATGAGCATAATAGGAGTTGTATGCCTAGCTCATTAGATACTATCCAACTAACCATGTCTAACACAAATCCCGTATCCGAGTGTTGAGTGTCCGGGTTATTTACACATTTTGACGAATCCAGGCATCCAGCTAGGAGACCCTATTTCTCATATCCACAGCACCATGCTCCGTTCTCCATCTGTTTGTGCCTTTTCCCTTCAAAATGAAAATCTTCTAAGGCTTTTCTTGATTCAAGAATGCAGGACCCAGGACCGAATCTAGCTTCTCCAATTTAGATGATATCTTAAACTCACTCAATAAGCAGAAGAACTAAACTAAAATAGTTAGCAATTCAGAAAATGGGGACAACCAAACAGACCTTATTAGCTTCGCCATGCATTCAAAAGCCACAAAATCTCGCCAAGAGGTCTATGGCCCGATGGCATAACGGATGCACTTAGAAGCCAGGAGGGAGGAGGTCAGAAGTTCAACTTCTCTTCCAAAGTGCTTATGTAACTATTCTAATAATAATAATTTTCGCCAATAAAAAAAAAGCCACAATATCTCAATAAGCAATGCAACGGATGATAACTTGTTTTGATTGGACACTTTGTTGCCCGTGTTCAACTAGTTGGAGGCTCCACCCGTCTTAGCAGAGTTTTCTAAACAAATCATCAAGGAATGCATCAAGCAAATACCACCCGTAAAAACGATGCCACAGCACCATGCCCAGGCAAAACAAGCATAAACAAAAAGATGAACCTGTGGAAGCAAATTTATAAGGTAAAACTGAAAAGATATCGACCGTTACGTAGGCACATTTAAGTTTGCCTTCCTATTTTTTCCATTGGAACTTCGCTAATTAAGTTGGGACATAAGTAAGAGGAAAAGAAAGGGAATAAAGAAACAACATTCGGATAGGAAATCCGACTCCATTATCAAAGGGATCCTAAGTTTGTTTTCCTGGTCGAGCGGGCCCGAAGTAGTTCGTCATCAATCCCATTATAGCAAACCTGGTTTAGATGGATAAGTTACAAGAAGTCAGCAACTAAATAATCATTAAGTTGAATCGTTTTCTATGATAACAACTCATCAACGCAAGAATAAAATTATGCTTAAAATCTAATAGCAGAATTTGTGGACACTGTCAATGTGATGTCAAAGAAGCTATTCTTGTGTATCAGTTTCCCTCTTCCATCAAAAACATTTGTGTAAAACATGGCTATGAAACAGGCAAACCAACGTTGCTACCATAAATTCGTAAAGTTAAACCTCATAGATGCTATACATAATTATCAATCATTGCACTGGCGATCGCAGGAATTTTGTTTTTAGCATGGATAATGGTTAAAATCATTTAGACTTTGGAAGGGTTTTAAGTACAATAATTAAGAACTCGGTGGGGCAAAATTTTATTTTTGTGGTAAGCCCACCACTAGCCCCGGCCCTTACCCATCCATAGATATCAAAACATAACATGCGGAAAACAAATCATAGAAATCACTGAGTTTTCATTCCACCACAGGTCCATATACTCCTAGCTGGTTTTTGGTTTTCTGTGATGCAAGAAGCACTTGGGACAATACAATTCAACAAGGCCAAAGGTGGGATAACAAATTAGACAACCAAAGACAAGGGAGAAGTGCTGGAAAAGAGCAAATTGAAAACTTGATGATCACCATTAGGCAACCAGAGAATAGAAAAAAAGTAATGTTGAGAACAGTATTTTGGTGAGGGTAGACTACTACAACAGGAGAGAGAGAGAGAGAGAGAGTAGAACTTTCTGAAGGCCTTGCCCGCTTTGCAAGTTCGGAGGTGGGTTGGTCCAAGGGACAATGAAGAAGAAGATGATCGGCACTCTGCCCTGCCTTCTTACACGTACAACACCAATCAATAATCACTTCTTCGTCTTCCTAAGGTTGAAATAGTTAAATAGGCTTGGCAATCATCTGTCCAAGCAACAAAAAAAAAAACATACGGGGGACCTTTCATCTCCAAACACCTCCCCAAGTAAGAAATGGGTCCTCATGACCACACACATCCTGATAATAAAACCGCATGGAAAACACCTCTATGCATAATGTGAACCATTTCATGACATAACATCTTGGTCACTCCTCGGTACCTAAGATGTATAAAAGAACAATAGGAAAAATCAATGGACTAACTTCCACAATCCCTCAGAGCTCTCCAAACTGAGGATTTGAACTAGACCAAATTCCAAACCCTTCGGCAAGTAAGGATTCCACCCTCCACTAAATATTTTTCCAAAGTCAATTGAAACAACTCCACAAACATCTCGCTTAGTGGTATATGGCTGCAAGGCCCACAACACAAAACAAGCCAAAACCTTCATCTATTAGGCCCCAAGTCTACCTGTGTACACTACTCTTCCCAAGACCACCTTGTTACAAGATTTAATACCTTGTCTCAACAACCTCAATTTCTCCGTTAAACCTTAAAGGGCCAAACGTACGAGTAGACAAGCATGATTGTAGCACTAGGAAGTAACCTCCAATAAAAGACAGGTCCAGCCTCGATATAAACGGAAAGGCTCTAGAATTACACCATTAGATCACCTTCTTCTAAAGGCAAGCCCATCGAATTCTCAGATGCAACCAAGTCAGACAACTCCATCAAAACTTGAGTCACATGATCATGACCTCACCTTTTGTTGGATATAATTTGAAATTTTGAACGCACCCTTTACACCAAGTCCAGTTCCAACTGGCTTCACTGCTGATTAAACTGACAAAGGTAATTCACCTCCAAGATTTCCCATTTAGATCTATCAAAGCTATCATGCCAATCAGATCATGGAGAGAGAGAACTCACTTTGAAAAACCATGCCCAAAAGAGCCCAAATCGACTGAAAACACAAGGGAGGTGCAAATCCATGCCGGAAAGGGACATGTTAGCCGGAGCTAACCATGACTGGGTTCTAGGTTTTCGATTTCATTTAGGTGGGGGCTGATGATGATAATTCGGACACCTCGGACCGTTGGCCGAATGGTCAGCAGCTATTTTAAATAAAAGTGAGTAAAACTACTAATCTCCTAATTTTAGTGGTTTTTAAAGGTGTTTATCTCCCTAGAACACGGGTGTAGAACTTTCATAATTCTAATTGGAGGATAGCCACCATTGTTCGTCTCCTGCTCACTTAATAATACAGCAAAGCAATTTAAGACTACTAAAATAAATTCCTTAGTTTTGGATATCTCTTCTATATTGTCATGATCCCATCATCAAAACTTAGCTTGCACGATGTCATTCCATGGGAAGTGAAATTTTCACCATTTATAGTTTCAAAAGTACCCCAAGTAACAGTTTGCTATTCCAAGGTTTTGTGTTCCTACTTAGAAAGCATATTGTTAATCTATGCAATTCTCTTTAGAAGGTGGGGCGCGAAAGAAGACAACATATAATCATGTCTAAAACTATGTCTTCATAAGTCAAGCAATCTAAACAAGACAGACCAACAATTAACATGTCATACCACCACAAGATACAAACAAAACAAGCCTGATATACATATTACATATAACTTATATACAAATAAGATCTACTTACATCATGGCCATTGAGATCTGCTTCAAATCATTTTCCATATTCTTCATATTGGCAAGTGATTGGGCACAGAAAATTAGAGCGAGCCACGAACCAAGCTTGTACTGCACATAGATAGCGAAGGCGATCATAAGAAGAAAGACATCAAGACCTAGAAAACCCGTTATGAGGGAGTGGAACCATAGATACAAAGCAAAGCATATACAATAGCACCAGAGTGATTATGTTGGTGCAATTTTAGAGACATGAAAAAGGTCTCCATGATTAGGGATAAGAACAAGTTTCACTAGCACATGGACAAGTAAATTATGGGCAGATGCCAAATAAGATTGCCGGGTTGGGGGTCACACAAAACAAAAGATTAGGAGTCGAGAAGAGGATGTGATTTTGTACCCTCAAAGAAGACATGATGAAGAAGCAACGACAAGACCTGAAGAATTAGTAGTGCTAAAACATCCAACTCAAAACCAATTAGCAATGAGTGGAGAGCCCATGCTCATATATAAGTTTTGGAGGTCAGAATTAACCAATTTGGGACAAGGTCTAACACTACCCCGCACGCGCAACTCCTGACCCGCACATCGAGAGGTAACCAAGGATCTATAATAAAGGGATCACAATGAGGCAAGGTGCACTTAAGGCACTAACAATGAGGCAATCAATCAAGAGAGTCTTGTCCAAAAGCCTCCGAAATCCTAGCTCTGGTACCATTCTAATGTATATAACTCAAAACCAATT